ACACGCGCACGCAAACAAACGAAACTACCCGCATTGTGTCCGCCTGCAGGAGACGGTGAAGCGCAGTCCCAGCCGAGGCTCCCAGGAGGCGCCGTCGCCAACGGGGAAGAAGGACAGCGAACTGGAGGTTATCCTGAGAAGACGGCGAAATAAGGCGGGAGAGACCGGATCCGGAGGTACAACAGCTTCAATCTGTTGGAGTTGACTATCATGTTGATTCCGTAGGCTCGCAATCCAAAATTGACTCCCTTTGCTTGTTTTAGTTGACTCTATGTGAAGTCTAGTTCACTCTCTTAGCTCTCGTGTTGTAGTTGACTCCTTTCTTTCTTGTAGTTGACTCTCTTGGCTTTCATGGAGCAGTTGACTCTCATGTTGTGGTTACCTCACTAGATTCCACCAAAGTTGACTCTGTTGGCTGTCACATTGTGGTTGACTCTCTTGGCGCTCATGTTGTAGTTAATTAAATTTGTGCTCGGCTCTCATCCCATTACATTTGAACCGCGCAATGTTCAATAAATTGAGTGACGTTTAATAAGTTTTACACGGATCCCATTGACCCGACTTGTGGGTCCCACCACCATGATGGCAGCATCACAGTGACAAGTGAGCAGGCAAATTACACGCTCGTTTCACGCTCCAGGCTACACTGCGTGTGACCCGCAGTGGCAGCATGTCTTCAGTAGAGGGCGACCAAAGTCAGGTCATGTCATTGGCTGATTGACATTTCCATGGAGAATGTTTGAACCGACCCCGGCTCGACCTCATTCATTCTATGAATTATTAAAAACTGTACGTTCGAACATGATTGGATTCTCTCGCTTCCACGGACGATGGAAATCTTTTGGGATTCATGTCATAGTTGATTCTTTGTTTTGGTTAAGTCTTTCGGGTCTCATATCGTAGTCGACTCTCTTGGCTGACGTGGCATGCTGGAATTGGCTCTCACGTCATTGTTGATGAACTAGCTCTCGTGTGGTAATCGACTCTGTAATCTCTCGTGTTGTGTTATCTTTTTTTCCTGGTCAGATGAGCGTGATGGTCATCTGAGTCACGTGTCATCCTGCGACAGTTTGAACGGGAGATGCGCCAGCAGCGAGTCGGGAAAAGATACAGATGGTTCTGTCACACCGTCCAACCCCACGTTGGCCTCACGGCCGGTTGGGGAGAGGCGAGGATCCGGTCCTGGACCCGTGGTGGCGAGGAGGAGGAGCTCGGACAAATCGGGAACCTGTCAGGAAAGACAATCCGGTAGCTCTGTGTCGGAAAAAGACACGGCCAACACTCCTGTCCGAAATGGCTGCGAGCACAGGTGGACGACCAAAGCGCGTCTTTAAAATGAATTATTCTTTATTGTTTAGATTTTCAGTCACCCAGGTCAGGGTAATCTGCCAAAGAAGGATTGAAGGCAACTGCACCCTTCTTGGTTGTTGAAGACTTTTCACATTTAAGGCTTTTCACTTCTAACGTGTACGTGTGGAGTTCCCTAAAAAATGCAACAGTGGGTCACAATTGTAAATGTTGAATACCAAGCTGTGGTTCACCAATTTTTAGGTGACTGCACTCCTCACTACTCTTCAATATTGCTAATTTTTTTTTCTTGAGCTTTTGTCCATGGGGTGAACAAGCTTTTCTTTTTTAAGTGCATTATTTTGGGAGAAAATCCTATTGAGTTGAGTTTCGGTCGCATGCGGCCATAATGTGGTTGAAATGCTAGAATGCTAGTTGAAGTACTTGCATGTTCGTGTCCCTCAATTCTGTACTCTCGATTACACTAAATTCTCGAGGAGGAGCCTGTGCTTGTAGAGGCTACCTCCTGAGGCAGACGGGTGTTCCAATCTATCATGTCCACTCTAGTGCTTGCGCATGTGGTGTTCGGTTGGACTTTTACTAAGCGAGGAGGGTGGTTTTAGGCATGCGCCGCGTGTAAAGTGTTCTGAGATAACTATGGTCTGGCATGAAATAAATAACTTTGAATTGAATTGAACTCCTTTGAATTGAATTAATTTGAACTGAATTGAATTGCCACAGCTCATCGGTGAATTTTGACAAAAGCTCAATTGAAATACCGAGATTTAATTATGGATTCTTTTGGATTCAAGGTGAAACATCTTCAACATCCAACAAGAGTCCAGTTGCCACATTGTTTAACTTTTGCAATTTGATTCTAGAATCCACGATTAATTTGTGACTTGTTTCCGCTCCGCAGTGTTACCGAAGACGCCACCGCAGCAAAGACGTCCATCCGGTCCAATGGTGTTGACCATGGTGAGGGCACGCGCTCTGCCACCTTTGTCGTGGGTGACATGAATGACGGTGACACTGAGAGCCACAGCCAGGGAGCGTTCTGAGAATATTTGCCTATTATGCACGATTGAATCACAAACAATGCACAGACGCTGACTCTGTTCCATTTTTTTTTCTTTTTTTTTTTGGAAAGACACGAGAGGTTTTGCTCGAGTTCATACTAGGAGGCTAAAAGGCTGAAATGCTAACGTGCTAGCGACCGTAGCCTGTTAGGTCACATGACTGACATTTGAAACACAGATGCAATTGAACACCTATTAACTCATAAAACAAACAATCCAAAGACTGCTGTACATTTGTTTCCACCAAACACATGAGTTTTTTTTTGTTTGTTTTGCTAACATGCTAACAATGAAAATCTCATTTGTCACATTTCCATGCAGATGCACGCTAACACTACAACATTATTTCATACAACAAACAATCCACAGAGACTGGCTGTAGCTCTTTTTAAAAACAGCAGAACATGTGAGGTTTTGTTCCATGCTAACATGCTAACGACCACTTCCTGTTAGGTCACATGACTGACATATTGCGGACACACTTCAACCCTTACGTTAGGTCATAAAACAAAGCATTGAGGATTAACTGCTACTGCTAATGTTAGCGCGACAATCTGACACGATTAAGGAGATAACATCACATCAGAACATGATGACACCCCCTGCTGGCCAATTACAGTAATCCTAGCTTTAAATAAAAAAGGCCTTTCAAAATATTTTTGTCACATTATTTTAGTGAAACTTTTTGTTGCCTTTCATGTTTTTTTTTTTTGGTGAGACGTGTGTTTCCACGTGATGCAGGCTAACTTTTTTTTTGGGGTGGTGCAAATGATGCCTTGGTCTCACTTTGTGTCGGTGTGTTGTGTGAAAAAAAAATCTCAACATTTTGAGATTATGAAACAATAATTATTGGGGATCGATTACATTTATTGTTTTTTCCAGAACAAAAATTCAGGACAGATAAGCAAAAGATGTAAAAGGTGCATTCCTTACCATACGCTGATTGACCACTTTATTGGGAACGCCTTCGACAGCTTAATATTCATCCATCCATTTTCTATAACCAAAGCCTTGTTTAGTACGCAAGTTATGCTTTGGTGCCGTCTAGGGGCATGAACCAAACTTTTAGGGGTGCTGTCAAATACTCGCAGAAACTTAATTTGAACCATTTTTCATCTTTCTACCCCCAATTTTGCTGCTTTAGAATGTACATTTTCCCAGTGTGGGACAAATATAGGATGTCTTAACTTTGTCTTGAAACACTAAACCCAGGCCTGAAACCCAATTTGAAACCCGAACTATTGTTTGAAAGCCTAATTTTTTGTATGAAACCCATTTTAAAACTCTGTGTATGGTGTACCTAATCAAGTGTCTACTAAGCATCTTTTTTTGAGGGACTTGCGTGCAGTTGCTTCTCGGCGACCTCACTTCAGGTGAAAACGTCTTCCGTCTTGCCAAGGTGTCAGCAATGCCTCTCTTTGATTTTGTTATGTTTGGAATAACTTGGCATCATCCAGCAAATTACTTTTGTGGAAATGAGTTGATTTGATTGGTTGGACATGACGAGAGCCTTTTATGCATAATCGAGGACTCCTACAGGCCTCTCACACACAGCTCCCGCTGCCATTTTTTTTTTTTGTTTTAAACATTTACACTTCACTTTGGGTGACTCTTGATGTCGTGTGTGTTTGGGATATATACATAAATATATGGAGTGTTGAAGGGTTTTTAAATTTTCATGTAACCATCACTTGAAATAAATTGCAATGCAAACTACAATTTGTGTCGTCTATTTGGCAGAAGAAAGCAAATGTCAGCAGACAATATTGGATGTCTCAGCTGTTTTCTGGTTTGCATCCACCACCAAATGAAGGACATCAATACAAATGTGCTTCAAATGACACATTTGCACATCTCGAGCTTAGAAGTCTGCATAGTAGTACAATGCTGCTCCCCAGTGGACATTGTCATTTTAGTGCTGCTAAGTGGGGGACTGAAAAAAATGTAAACAATGAGGAGAAAAAAAGTCATTATGCAGTGACAATGAGCTAAATGTCTTTGTTGGCGTTAAAAAGTCCAAATCTTTTTTTTTTTTTTTAAAGAAATACAACATAGGATTAAAGAGAGATAATATTTTTCGAGACAAAAATTTCGACACATTTTTCTTCAAGACAAGAAAAATGTCACAATGACAAAAATGCCACGACACTGAGTATAAACTGTGGTTTCGGGGCAACAATTAGCATTTTGCAAGAATTGCCTTTTTTTTTTTAGATATTATTATTATTTTTTTTTACACGGATTATCCTCGATATTTGTGTGTTTAAAGTTGTTGCTTGTTTCTGGGGAAAATAATTTTATAAAAATGCAAAAAAGGATATAAACGGCTTGGAATTCAAAATATTAATCACATTGAAAACATTTTTTTCTATGTGAATATCTAAATTCCCTCAAGTTTGATCACTCAAATTTATGTTAAGTTTGGATTTGGCCCTTCAATATCTTTGGATACATTACTATAATATTGAATTTAAAATATTACTAAATTAAAAGGAAAATAATAATAACAATAATAACAACAATAATAATAATATCTGTAAAATGTGTCAGAACATGCGCGTGAAGAGTTTTTCGGACATAAAATCTTTGTGCCGTCCCACGTCACGTGACTGGTCGTATGACTCTCAGCTGCGTTATGACGTCAAACGCGGAAGAAAACAGAGTCGCAGTCGGGCGGACTGTCGGGAGTGCAGTTGCATTGTTCACCGGCGTTCTTTTTATTTTTTTATTTTTTGCTCATTTTATTTCATCTTAACCAGGCAAACATGAGGAACATTGCGATGTATGCCGTCACGTTGAGCATCTTGGGAGTTGTAGTTTTAACCGAAAAGCAGCACGGGTGGAAGAGAATCAACAAAGTTGCGGTGAGGCGAAAACGTGTCTGTGTGTTTGTTTGTACAACCCCTGTAGTATGTAGTAATGACCATATGTTCTGCTTTATCAAAAGTGCACATTATGTTTTTTCGTGTTTGATTTGCATTGAATCTCACAGGACATTCTGTCCGGTACGCGTATTTCAAAACTAGTCTTTCCGTGTGCAGTTTTCAGGCTTCGCGTGGAAGAACTGCGGGAAACCAGACGCGCCGGCGGTGCTGAAGACCCTCAGCGTGTCTCCCGACCCTATCAGCATCCCCGGAGACTTGACCGCGTCCGCGTCGGGATCCACATCAGTGGAGATCCGTGCGCCTCTGACCGTCAGTACTGGACACACGCACACACGAGTGGCCCTGCTCAAGGGCGTATTTTTGTCATTTGGCAGCAAAAAACAAAAAAGTCAGTACTTTAAAGCGAAAGAAACTTTCTTAATCCGTTTTGTTTTTTACGAGGCGTAATTTGCTTGCCTTAAAAGCTAAGTCCGACCCAGGCGGAACTTTTACCACAACAACTTTCTTCTTCCTCTTTTTGACACCATTAAAATACTTTGAACTTGAACAGGCTTTGATTGCGATGATGTGTCAGCTCCACAGGTTGATGACACCGAGCGTCATGAGACGTTGCTTGGAAACCCAAACTTAAAGCTCAAATTCGAAAGATTAAACCTGAGTTAAAAGCTTCATTCGAAACCCCAAACATTTATTTGAAATCCCACTCGTGACATCCAGATCTTGACTTGAAACTGTAACGGTGAAAGGACACGTTGATCCTCTTCTCTTTCATCTATAACTGGTTCTAAACAAAAAAGAGTATGCAGAAAAGTGTTTATGATCGAATGACTCTGTGTCTAATGTGTTGTGTTGTATTAATTTGTTATTGTTATTCTGACTTCAAGATGGCGCCACGAGAGTGGCTGCCTTTCCAGCAGCTCCTCTACTTTTTATTCTTCTACTTTCTTCCTTTCATAACTTCTGCTGTAAATTGGGAATTTCTCCATTGTGAGACGAATAAAGGTTTTCTTATTCTTATTCTATTATTATTCTTATTAACCTTTTTTCTTTTTGTTTTTTCAACTCTGCTTTGAAAGACTTAAGTCTCATTTGAAACCCTCACCCAGCCTTGGACCCTTGATTTAGAACACCAACCTCTGTTCAAAATTCTACTTTGACACAGAATTCTTGACTTGAGACCCAAATGTGAAACGAAACCATGCCTTGAAGCCCTCCTTTGAAACCTTAACCTTAGCTTCAGTCTCTAATTTAACACCCAAGGCCTTGTTTGAAACCCTACTTTCGATCTGCTCAGAAGTTCATGTGACAATTGTGTGATGGCGCCATAAAAAAATGTTAACAAGTCAAATCTCGTGACAGGTCGTCACGCTAACAGTCAGTCAATGGAGCACCACTATATTTGATGGTCACAATACAAAAATAAATCCTTTCAAATTTGACTTTGAACAAGTACTGCATGTGACAGGAAGTGATCTTACAACATCCTGGCAGCATTTTCTAGAACATCATGCAAGTGTTTGTGTTTCCCGGCCAGGTGAACATAACTTTGGAGAAAGAGGTGGCCGGTTTTTGGGTGACGATACCGTGCATGGACGAGATGGGAAGTTGTCACTATGCCGACGCCTGCGACATTTTGACCCAGCTGATTCCACCTGGACAAGACTGCCCGGAACCACTACACACCTACGGACTGCCCTGTCATTGCCCCTTTAAGCCTGTAAGTGGCGCTGCACACAACACGCTAAGTACACGATCTGAATGCTTATTTACACAACTGGATTAGCATTAGCATTAGCACAAGATAGTCACTTCCAACTAAGTGCTTATATGATCCCCTTTAGTGATCGCGATAAATTCCGGGTCGCTTACGGTGATCAGCTGCGTGCGTTTACCTGGTCGAAAATGGCGGCAATTAGACTGACAGTAGCCAATCAGAGTCACCTTGGTTTGTTTAGTGTGGTGCACCAAAGATTTGTGATTTCATTGTGTTTTTTATCTGTAAAGCACAAAAACAGAGCATTTGTTTCTAGCATTCTTGATCACACCACACATCTTCACTTTTAAAGTGGTGGCATCTACTTTTGAGCTACTTGAAAGGCAGCGCAGGACGCCGTCTGCTGGCCAGATTTTGATATTGCAGCCAATTTTACCTTGATACATTTTCCTCTTCATTCTGTTATTTTATATTTTGTACATTTATTGTAAAGTTGAGTATTTTTAAAACATGTATTTGTGTGTTTTAATATTTTATTATATATTATATATTATTATTTAATATTTTAAATTTACAGTCCTGTTCATAACATTTTAAAGTATTCTCTAATGTAGTTGGGAAAAAAATTAAGACAATGACCATTATACATAATGAGAAAACAAATTGTGTTCACTTTTATGTCATCTTGTCCAGCCCATCTACCAAAGTTCATGAAAAAAAAATGTGCGCACTAGCATTCATGCCAACACTGTTGCTAACCAAAACAACAGTTTCCAGTCTCACAAACAAAGCAGTTGGTGAATCATTATCAAAACGAATTTCGATTTGGTAATTCACCTTGTTGCTCAGCAGAATTTGTCCAAAAGCCAATGGGGAAGAAAAGCCTTTTTTTTCTGCCAACTCTGTAACTCACCAAAACAGCAGATCACAATCTATCAACAATATAAAGGAATGATTCATGATTAATACAGTCAGAAAACGGGCCAATAAGAGTCTTCAGCTTTTTGTACGACCAATGTCACTTGTTGCTAGGCAGAATGTAAACTATAAAACAATAGTTTTCCAGTCAATCACATTCTGCCTAGCAACAGGCGATCAATGGGAAGAGTCAGAGTGGGTTGCAGACATTTATGCTAGGTTCACACTGAAGACAAATATGACACAGATCGGATTTTTTTGCCTGTATGCAAGCTGTATCTGATTATTTATTTTATTTTTTTGACCTCGTCTGATCAGCTCAATTCCGAATTTTTCAAGTCGAATTGGGTCACTCTTATATGTGGTCCTAGAATGGAGACCAAAAAAAAAATCTGAATTGAGCAGGAAGTCTTACAGTGTAAACCCAGCCATAAATGATGACTCTGTATTAAATATTAAATATTAACTCTTCTGTTTATTGTTTTGAGGGCTCTTATGCGCTGCCTGAGTCAGACTTCTTCCTGCCCTTCGTGGATGTTCCATCGTGGCTCACGAACGGAGATTATCGTCTTCAGGGAGTCCTGGGCGGCAGTGGTGGCACTGAGCTGGGCTGCCTCAAGGTGGCGCTGTCGCTCCATTCGGAATAAACGCCTTTTTTGAAATTAATAATGTAGGATTCTTTACTACAGAGATAATTCTTTTTAAAACTGCAATAGCCTCATGTTCATTTGCTTTTTTTCTTCATTAATAATCTTTTGTTATGGAATTTGCTGAATAAATGATGGAAAATGAAAACAATGGAGGTTCATGATGGGATAATTTGCTGTTGGGCATGTGAGAGTGTTGCACAGTGTACAGTTTTGTAATAAACATTTGTTGATCATTTATCTCATGTCAAGAACCAAATGACAATTTGCTCCCCCGCAAAAAAACAAACAAACAAACAAAACATTTTAACACCTGTTGTCCGCTAGGTGGTAGAAAATGTAATACGTTTGATCAATTGACATATTTGACCTTTTTTTCGAAGCAGGCATCTTACTACTCCTAGTAACACACACACACACACACACACACACACACACACACACACACACACGCACACACACAAAGTGAAAAGTGAGTGCTGACGCGTGTGTTGGTTTGCACAGGAAGGCTCACAATGACAGGAAGAAACAAGGAAGGCCACACAAACCCACACACAAAAATGACAAATTTTCTTGACTCATGACAATTATGTTTAAATCTCCCAAAACACACAAACATTCTTTTAAATATCAACTTGAATGATCATGTAATGGGTCAATAACTGTCACCTGACAATAAACACAGTTGAAAATGTCATGTGACCATACATAATCAGTAATCCATACCTTGTGACAATAAACTCATAACCATCGATAATGTTCACGCGATAACATAGTTGTGCAAGCGCAATAACGTCACATGGATTTCATGTCATGTGACCGCAAACCAATTTAATCATGTCTTGTCTCCCACCTTCGAACGTTCTCACGTTAGCCCGTTGCTCGCGCACGCCACCAACTTGTAACGTAGCACCGAGTGAAGGCCTCACCTTTGACCCCGAGCTTGAAGTTTGTTTGTTTGAGGCAAGTAGAGTGGGCCGCGGGGTGGGGGTGGAGGGTTGGGATTTAGGGAGGGGGGGTAGACAATATAACATGTCCGTCAACACTTGAAGGCGAGGAGCTGACAAATGACGTCAGTCGTCGAATAGAATAAGGGATGATAAGGTGCATACTTATGATGTATACAGTATGATGAAGATGGACTATATTGATGTGATATGCATTTTATTTTATTCACTTGTGATGTCATCAGTTGTTTTAGCTGGTGTGCATCCAGGCTGGTCAGATGTCAGACAATCAGATTAGATTACCAATGAAAACAAACACGCACACACACACACACACACTCACACACACACACACACACACACACACACACACACACACACACACACACACACGCTGCCTGGATGTAGCAGGCAATCATATTGCAGCAGGCTACTCTACTACTACTCTAGCGTTTCCATAACACCTCAATTCCTCTCAGCTCATCAGTACAGCACTAATATTAGGAGCTCTACGGAGGCAAGAAATATATGACTGCATCCCGACATATTGTCTATCTACATGTTGTGGCAGCACCATTTGTGTTCACTCTGTTGCTTAAGGGCCTAAAGAACCGCAATTTAGATGCTTATTAGCGTTAAGCTAGTACGCCGAAGGGTTAGCTATGCGGTTGTTTGAAATACAAATTCCCTTTGCTTTAAGTTTAATTAGAATGAACATCAATTGGGAGAGGTAAAAGCTGAAGTAAGTGCAATGCAAAAGATAGGCCAAATGACAACTTGTAGAACGAAAAATTGGGTCATTCTTATCTTAAGGTACCACGATATAAGCTCATACTATAAACCAACAGAAAATACTATGTACATATATGTATGGACACTGAATTTAAACATATCGAGGATTATTTCTAGTCAGGACAGAATGAGAAAGAATGGACGTTTGTTGTGTCTCGTGCCACCCCCGCCAATTCGCCTCCCCTCCCCCCATCCTCCCCCCAAGCAGGACATCCCGTCTACGGCCTTCACCGCCGCCTGACCGCTTCCTTCATGGGAAGAGAAAAGAAATACGGGAGAGGAGGCGAGGGAGATTAAGACGGGCGAGGGTTCAGAGTGGCCGAAGGAGTCGGCTGGCGTGGCGAGAGGGCGATGAGATGCTGATGTAGAGGGAAGCAAAAGGGGCCAGGGGTCAACGCGCAATCAGCGGCACAGAACAATTGAAGAAAAAAAAAAGGAGGGGGAATGAGTTCAGCAGCTGTCAACACGGGCAAAACATTCTGTCACTTGACGATAAACACAATTTAATAAACTTACGTGGGAAACACAAAATAAAGAGACACATGTTCAACGGGATGTGACATGAATGTAAAATAAAGCGAGGTGACAATCCACACATTTGATTGGAAATAGAGCCATGTGACACTGATCACATTAAAGTGTTAATAATGTTGTGGAACTGAACAGAACAAAGGATGACAAATACTTTTATTGAAAACAATCGAACAACACTGCCTTAAGAATTGCTCTGTAGCAGAATCCTAAAATATAACAGAAAATGCCATTGGCATGCTAACAGTTTGCATCGATAGCCACAGTTCAGGAACAACGGATGTTTGAACGGAAAAGGTGGGTCGACACATCTACGATTGTCTTTTATTCTGCCCCGAGGTGCCAAGGTGGACACACCAGAAGGAGCAACCCAATGAATCGGATTGCAGCATTGTTAAATTCTTTCCAATCTGTTTAATTACGTTCTTATTTTCCTCATTATCTCATGTTTGAAGACAAGTATGTCGAATATGCTAAACATTGGCTCACAACAATGACGGCTTAAAGCAGAAATGCGTCTTTTGCCACTTTGGACATTTTTTTTCTGCATTTTTCAATGCTGCCTTCCGAGACCACAAACAACAACTCCACAACAAGCACTGCGAATAGAGTCGGAAAGCTGTAATTGTACCCCTGCGAATGCAACAAATGTGTCACTTGTTGACAAATTTAAACTGCCACCACATGAACATAACACCCGAAACCACCGGCAATGTCCATGAGCCGCCTTCACGCCACACAGAAAACTTTTGGAATCATCCTCAGGTTGGGAAGAGACTGCAACCGGGTGTCAGGTTTCCTCCAAACGGGAGGTTTGTGGGGGGATTGTCCTCCTGCTTGTCTGGGATTCATTTGCATACCACCCTTCCCACCTGCTTTCCCATTGGCCGAGCCTGCAGCATGTGTGTACTCACTTCCAAACTTCCTCAGTCTCGAAAAAAACTTTCCAGCGGTGAGGAGGATGATGAAGTGCGCGGCGAGATGGTGGGAGCAGCTGTTGGAGTGAGCAATGCAAGCGGGGATCATAATCGGCATGATGATTTGTTCCTGGAGTGAAAATAAACCTGGAAAACCAACTTTTTTTTTGTTTTACAACTGGAAAAAATGATCTGATGCTCACTTTTAGTCTGAGCTCATTTTTGAGGATTTTATCACAAATTGTTGCGATCGATGTTGGGCACGCTGGACGGATACCTGAACCTCAACTTTTCTCCCAAAACGTAACCTTTTGTTTTGGAACTGGAAAAATGATTTGATTGTCACTTTGATTTGATTTGATTTCTTTTTTTTTTTAATGTTGATTCATCAGTAGCCATCTTCGTCATGTTTCTTCTTCAACTCCTTGTGGTTCTGAACGTGGGCTGGAGGGCTGGCTGCTCCGAGCCGTCATCCATCACCATTCACTACCGTGTCTGGGAAGAGCAACCCGCGGGAACCCGGGTGGGCCGTCTGGTGGACGACCTCTGGCAAATGGACCAGGTGGGTCCTCTGGAAAACTTCCAGGTTGTGGAGCATGGGTGGGCCCTTCCTTTTGCCATCAATGCCGGAGATGGTGAGGTCTCCACCCAGGGCCGCTTGGACCGGGAGGAGCTGTGTCGCGGTGCAGACGAGTGCGAAGTGGCCTTTAGTGTCCTGTACAGGAAGAGCGGGGCGGTGCACTGCCTGCGGGTTCACGTGGAGGTGATGGACCTGAACGACAATAGCCCCAGCTTTGCCAGTCCCGTCCAGGAGTTGGAGATCTCGGAGACGGCCGGATTACGGATGAGGATTCCGCTGGAATGCGCGGTGGATCCAGATGCAGGAGCCAATGGAATTCAGACATACACGTTGTCCGTCAACCAGCATTTTGCGCTGGACGTGACTTCTGCGCTGGGTGGCACCAAACAGGCGGAGCTGGTCGTGATCAAAGAATTGGATCGGGAAGTTCAAGGATCCGTCGAGCTCACCTTGACTGGGTGGGACAAAGGGAACCCGCCGAGGTCTGGGAGTGCTTTAATTCGTGTTTATATTCTAGACTCCAATGATAACAGTCCTACCTTTGAAGACAGCGCCCCCACGGTGGAGATACCCGAGGACACAGAACGTGGGACAACGATCATCCATCTAAGAGCCACGGACCCCGACCAGGGTGCCAACGGGGAGGTGAAATACTCGCTGAGTAAGCACTCACATCCTGACGTTCAGAGGCTCTTCTTCGTGGATCCACAGAGTGGCGCTGTGAGCATCAGAGCTCCTCTGGACTACGAGGCCCAGACCTCCCACGAAGTGGTGGTACAGGCCCGCGATCGCGGACCCAACTCCATTCCCTCACACTGCAAGCTCCATGTCAAGCTCGTGGATGTCAACGACAACGCCCCGAGGATCCACATGACCTGGACTCATCCCAGCTCTCCGGCTGCGACGGTGCTTGAAGGGGCGCCGGTAGACACCTTCCTGGCTTTGGTGAGGGTTTCGGATGCCGACTCTGGAGAAAACGGGAAAGTGACGGCTATGATGCAACACGGTTCCGGCCCCTTCCATATCAAAAAGATCCCCGGTGAAAATTACATGATCGTAACTGCGGGTGTCTTGGATCGAGAGAAAGTGATGGACTATAATATCACACTGGTGGCGCGGGATTACGGAGATCCGCCATTGACCTGCGTGAAACACCTGCCTGTCCGGGTTTTGGATGAGAACGACAATACGCCGGTGTTTTCCTCAGAGGTCTACAAAGCGTCATTCAAGGAAAACAACGTCGCAGGCTACCAAGCCCTCAAGGTCCATGCGCAGGACGCAGACTTGGAGCTCAGCGGCAGAGTTTTGTACCACCTTCACAACTCCAGCGACCTAAAGTCACCCACCCAGCCTTTCTCCATCCACCCAACCAGCGGTGTTGTCAGCGTCGTTCAGCCGCTGGACTATGAGGAGTACCACTCATATTTATTCCTGGTGGAGGCTGTGGACCAGGGTCACCCGCCTCTTAGGACCACAGCCACGGTGCAAATTGACATCCAGGATGTGAACGACAACTACCCGGTCATCAAAGATCCGCGACCCAAACAGGGCGTGGCTCAGCTCAGTGTTCCCATCAATGCGGATCGCGGGAACATTGTAACAGAGCTGGGTAGTGACGGTGAGGAAGGATCGACCGCTTTGCCCACCGGGCAGTCAGTCCGACAGGGATTTGACGGATTTCTTGCCTCCACCATAAAGGCTGAAGATTCCGACTCGGGACTGAACGGACAACTGCAATACTTCATCACCGATGGCAACCCCCTCTTCTGGTTAGATCAGGCCACGGGTCAATTGTTTGTCAACACCACCAACGCCACCCAGCTCATCGGGAAAACAGCGAAGGTGGACATTTCTGTCTCTGACATGGGGACCCCCAGCCTAGCCACCAAGGCCACACTGGAGGTGACTTTCATCAACCTCAAGGATCACTTGAAGAACTCGTCCACCGGGGACCGGGGGCGGTTCAGTTTCACCATGATGCTGGCCATCTGCTTGGGGGCGACGTGTCTTCTGCTGCTTCTCACCATCGCCTCGGTCACAACCTTCTGCAGACCCGACAAAAGGGAGTACCGGGCCTACAACTGCAGGCAGGCTGAATCCACGTACACGTGCCATCCGCGCCGTCCGCAGAAGAACATCAGAAAGTCGGACATTCAGCTCATTCCCGTAATGAGGGACCACAAAGAGGAGATCGCGCTGGAGGACAGTGAAAAGAGGCCACTCACCCCGTCACATGACCAACCCACGGAAAAGGTTTTAGAGTTGACGCCACTGATGATGAACTCGAGCTTCCATTCCCAAACACACCTCGAGGGCGACGTCCCTCATGGCAGGACTCTACGAAAACCTGCACACATCCAACTGGACGCCACTTTGCCTCTGACGCCGGTGACTTCCTATTGTACACTTCGCAAGGCAAGAAACCCGTCGTCAACGTCGTCTTCAGGATCCCATTCGAGCACGCTGAAGCGGAAGACGGCGGAGACGGCGGCTTCGACACCTCAGGCGACTCTCAGAAGGCCCAAGACATCAGAGGGTCGCGAGTCCAGCGATGCGGAAAAGCAACAGATGCTCCAGAATCTGGTGCGACTGTCCATGGCGGCCTTCGCCGACTCTATTGAATTCTCATCCGCCTCCCCAGAAGTGCAGGTGAGTCCTCAACCTTCTTTTGTGGGGCACCTTCTGGTGAGGCGGGTCCCACCAAGTCAAAATGTATGTTACGTGTCACATCACATGATCAAATCAAACATAATATACATAACCTGATTTACATGCATGATATGAGTTACATATAGCAAATGATGTACATACAGGTACATCACTTGATTTACATACATGATGTCACTTGGCTAACATGAGTAACATTAATTACATGGCATGACTTACATACAAAAACAATCACTTACGTAACTCACATGACACAGCACGATTCATACATGTTGCATGACCGAAATAAGCGACTACACATGACACGGTGTACATATGTGAGCTTTACAAATATGGCTCTCATATGTTTCATGATTTTCAGCACATCGTGTGACTTAAACGCGCCACATGATATGACTTACGGGAACAAAAAAGATATTACAGTCCACCCTCCGCATAGGGTCACCGATTTTTTTTTCCATAGCACACAAGAGAAGACGACCTGTATGATTTTCTGTACGTCACACAATTTCCACAAGTCACTCAACTCTTCTTGACAGCATGTGACTTACGTGTGTCACATGATTTGCATATGTGACAAGACTTAGACGTCAAATGATTTACTCTCACACGTCACATGACTTCCATACAGCATATCATATCCGGAAGGGGCAAAAGAAGTTCGTGCCTAACGTGCTAAGATGCTAACGCTAATGATGCGTTTCACTCGGTTTGTTGTCTGGATGAATGTGGGCCGTAAACCCTCGACTGCTTCTGAGCAACATTGGATGACATAAATTATAAACAGTTATGTGACTTCCATCCGTCACATGATTTCCGTCTTCTTTCCAATTGGACGTGAGCGAGTCTCCAGTAACTTTGCATGAATGATTTCCCTCCATCTCCACAATGTCTTTTTAATGCCTTATTTACTCTCTCCCTTTCTCCTCTGCATTAATTGTGTTCGCCCGCCATTGCCAATGTGTGATCACTCAGGGTTCAACATGTGCTTACAGTTAGCGTGTCGCTAATTAACTAGAGCCCCCCCTTGCCGCCTTGCCGTCCTCTCTTGCCCTCCCCCGCAGGCTTTGAAATTAATCTGAAGTGAAGTCCATTAGAGAATTGGGAGGAACACATGCACGCGTACACACACCACTGCCAGAGTAAGTCATCAAACAGGAGCATGGAAAAAAAAAAAAAGCAGCGCGTCTGTGTGCGTGTTAGGTGAGTGATGAGTGCGACTGCCAAAAGCAGAAAGCGTATTCACGCGCCGGTGTATCATTCGTCAGTGTCATCTGCCTCCAGAGATGCTGCTTTCAACTTAAAGATCGCATATCAATGCACAATGAATGTGTGTGTCTGTGTGTGTGTGCGCGCGCGCTCGAGCGAGACATGTGTAAAATGACACCATCGTTCTGCTTTGCAAAGAAAAAAAAAACGAAGCGAATGCCATTTTTGCTGCAAAGGCAAAAGATTTTACGGCATTCAGGGTTGTGTCGAGGGCAGCTCAGTGGTTGACTGGTTAGCGCGTCTGCCTCACAGTGCAGAGATGCAGGGTTCGATTCTGGCTCCGGCCTTCCTGTGTGGAGTTTACATGTTCTCCCCGTGTCTGCGTGGGTTTTCTCCGGGTACTCCGGTTTCCTCCCACATTCCAGAAACATGTGTGGCAGGTTTATGGTCAATAGTAGTCATCAGTGGGAGTGGTAAGTCGGCAGCCCTGAGTAGCAGCACCAGTGGCCCCTTTCACGCTGCCTTCATGGCACATCAGAGGTTGATCGGTCAAGCTGTCATTTATTCACCCATTCGTCACTTTGAGAGAAAGGAAGCAGTCAGCGTTTCTACCCACCATGCATCAGTCCTCACCCGCCCCCGTGGCCCACTTGGCACCAGTACCGCTTCGGACGTCGGCCTCCTCCCTCTGACTTGGAGAGGAACTTGCCTGTTGCGCGCACGAACACACGCACACACTTTAGCGTCCATCCTGGAAGGAAGGCAGCCAGAAAAGAATAGACTTTTTTTTTTTTTAATGTGAAGGTCACTTCCTGCCTGCAAAACGCACGTGCAAAAACACACCAAGTCGTATATTCATCTACACACACGCACGCGCACGTTGATAGATTAACCTTCACTGGTGTGCGCGCGTGTGTGTGTGTGTGTGTGTGTGTGTGTGTGTGTGTGTGTGTGTGTGTGTGTGTGTGTGTGTGTGTGTGTGTGTGTGAGAGATGGACATTAGCAGCTGCTTCTCCCATAAAACTAAAATCACACACTCTCACTGTGTGGTTGGTTGGCGTTATTTTATTGTGACTCACACGTCGGTACATCTCAACTTCCACGCGTCAAACGCCTTACATGTCACTTACGTCACATGACTTACATACATGACTTACAAGCCTCATGTCACTTACATATGCGTTACATGCCATGACTTATGTGACTGCCACGTGTCACGTGACCAACACAGGCCACCACTTGTGCAGGTCACACGACTTGCATACATGTCATGACTTACAGGACTTCCACGTCACATGACTTCACTGTATAAAAGACACAATGTCCCGCGTGTCACATGACAGACAAGAAGAAGTCGAAGTCAGGAGTCATGACTTGGTTACGTCATCACACACACAAAAAATAAAATAAAATCGGCTATGCATGTGTGCAAGTAACCGAGAAGTCATTGTTTGTCATACCATTCACAGTTAGGGTCCCATAAAATAAAATGCAAACATATCTAAAGCCTTGGTCAACATACTCATAATATAGCAGGATCACATCTGAGTAAAAAAAGGAAAGTTTTTTCTGAGTTTAATTTACTAGATAATGACATGCATTTGCCAATCAGAGCCCATACCGTTTTTGCATGCTGCCATTAATGGCCCATTCATTCAAATCATATCTCAAGAGCACAAGGACAAAAACAAATCCTTCATAATTATAAACGCTGCCCTTGACTGAGCTTTTTAATGATTTCTCTCTTTTGTCGAAACAATGACTGTGAATGGTAGGATAAACAATGACTTCTCAGCCACGTTGTTTGAAAATAATGGATAGGATTGACAATACAAGAACCAAATGCACTATTCTAAAGTCAGAGTCAATTTGGATTCAGACGTAGTTTCGGACCACCGATGTCGATTGGTTAAGTTTGCCGTCCATATTGTATTTGGATTAATGGGCTGTTCCCTCAAGATACCGGCCCGCCGGGCATACGCCCTGTACAGCAGATGGCCAGTTCGGCGCTTATTTTCTTGTTGCTGGACTTGAATTTAATTGTCATCTGTGTTGTCGTGCAGCAGATTTCTCAGCTGCTGTCGCTCCTCCGTCAAGGTCAGCTGCAGCCTCGGACCAACTTCCGCGGAAACAAGTACTCTCACCGAGCTGCCGCAAGGTCAGTCTGCATCCTTTCTCATCTTCTTCGTCTTTGTCCACGTAAAAAAAAAAAAAAAAAAAGCACAGAGTACATCGAATGGACATCAAGTTCACAAATCAATTTGTTTTGTCTTCCCCCCCCCATGCGTGCAAACATGAACTTTTAGGAATGGTTGACTTTGGAGTGGGGGGGGGGGTAGGGTGTTCCTAATATTTTGACCATTGCATGAAACTGGAGAAAGTGGGAACAGCTCCCAGGATGATGCAGTACAACACTGGGAGCTTAATGGAGACCCATGATCGTGTGTACGCGTGTATGTGTGTGTGTGTGTGTGTGTGTGTGTGTGTGTGTGTGTGTGTGTGTGTGTGTGTGTGTGTGTGCGTATGTGAGAGACCTTCCATGCCTGAAATAAACGCAACAGATAAACAGGAAGTCACAGGTCATCCAGGACGCGGAGCATCATCCGACACTTGAATTTAAGCAAAAACTGGACACAGATGCATCTTCAGTGACGTATTTTTGTTACGTGTGTGCATGCAGGTACGCAGGTCAGGACTGTTCTGACTGGCAGAGCACCAAGGACAGCGGGCACGGAGAGAGCGAGGCGGGCGACATGGACTGGGAGGCGGGGAGGGACTCACCTGTCGACCCCCAACTTGAGGAGGGATTGCACGACCTGCTCAACCAAACTGGTACGCCCACAAGTGAAGGGACTCAAATGTTGAGGCGCGACGATATTATTCTTTCCTTTTGCAGCAGATTATTTCATCTGATTTGCTACTTATGGAATGTTTAACTTCGTTTGTCCTGAACGTGCCACCCTCACATTTTTTATGTTGACATTTTAAGTGTGTTTGTGGGTCATGGTGACGCACACGTGCATGTGTGTGTGTGTGTGTGTGTGTGTGCGTGTGTGCGTGTGTGTGTGTGTGTGTGTGTGTCTTCCTACTATTGTGGTGGTCTGAGCCTTGAGGCCCCTTACAGAGGGTAATACCACCAAAACCAACACCCCCCCTAGACAAACAGTGTGTGTGTGTGTGTGTGTGTGTGTGTGTGTGTGTGCGTGTGTGTGTGTGTGTGTGTGTGTGTGCATGTGGTGCGCGCCTGCTCGTGTGGAACCTTTGATTCTGTCGCCAACATTCCAGTGCTCTTTTTTATTTTTTTATTTTTGGGCCCTTTGACTTTTTTCTTTTTCCTCCTGCGGGGTGGAGATTTGGTTTCACTTCAAGAGGAGGAGTAATGAATTAATGCAATTTCCCCAACTTCTGTACAGTTCAGGTTTGGTTGGCAGTGTCACGGGTGAGCTGGAGTTAAGAATCGAGACAGTCAAAAAAAAAAGTTAAGTTAAATACAAACAAGAGAGCAAAGTCAAACACCACCATGGAAATACATTTGAACCAAGAAAACATGTTAAGAACCAAATTAATCGTCAAAACACATGTCATTCCGGGAATTGTTTCCAAATATGAAGTTGAGGAACAAGTCAAATCCAGTAAAAATCGAATATGAAGTCAACATGAAAAACCATTTTTGAACTCCTGAAAATGTGAACCAAATCAATCACGCAAAAACAACTCCAAAAACAACTTATCGCATTTCGGCTGAAGTCCAAAAACAAGTACCATCCCCCACACCCCCACACCCCCCAGAAAAAAAAAAAGAAAAGCCTGAATTAAGTGAATTTTGAGCAAATGACAAAGTTCAGAATCGAGTCGGTCAAAAAAAAAAAACTATAATTTTTTTTTTTTTTTTTAAGTCAATGAATGGTCACCATCCAGTATCAGGCCACAAACAGACAAATGATGGACTGTTTCCCAATCTCTCTCTTAAAGACACACAATCATCACTTTTTCATTCAAATACTGTATACTGTAAAAGTGCACACAGATCCAAATCAGTGCCGTGATGCAAACGTTCTAAGCGTACAGTTCACCGTTTTTGTTCGCAGCTAAAACTTTAAAAGCTTTTCAAGAGGATTTAAACTTCTGAAACAAAGACAGGAAAGAAGGGGCTCAACTGAGTGGGCGCCAGATCCCCAACTACTGCTTGTGTGTGTGTGTGTGTGTGTGTGTGTGTGTGTGTGTGTGTGTGTGCGTGCGTGCGCGCCTACTAATGGCTTGCATGTGTCTGACTGAGATTGTTTGACTTCTTTTTTGAAACTACACCTGAGGCGACTTCTGCTGTTCAACTGTTTGCCATTTGAAACGTTTCATTTGTTGTTTACGTCTCATTTTATTGTCATCCAACACTTGAAAAGTACTTTTAACACCTGACATTAACAGAGAAAACTTGTCAAGTAAAAATCAAAGCAAAAAAAAGCAGACAAAAGTTTGATCACATTTAACAGGAGCAAGAGACACGAACAGATGTGGCCAGAACAAAAGAACAAGAAAAACTCACAGGAGAGGCACAAAAAGAGGATAGGACAGAAAGATGGTCATAACAGGACTATAAGAACAGACAAAATCAGGAACAGCACAAGAACAGGCAAGGAAAAGGAACAGTAGAGCCGCGGTCCAAACCAGAACAAAAAACAGTACAGAAGAGTGAAAAAAAAGAACTCAAGCAATTACTGAATGAGAACAGGACAGAAGAACAACAACAATGAAGACAGAACAGGACACTGACTGTGAAGGAAAGGCAGGGACGGAACAACAACATAAATAGGAACTACATTGAGAAACAAGCAAAAACAGTCCAGAAAAGGAAGGACAAGGCAAAGAAGACAGACGAAGAAGGACAGGGACAGGAACATAAATAGGCAAGAGCAATACGGGAAAAGAACAGGACAGGCAAGGTATGAACTTGAGCAGGGACAGACAGGACCAGAGCAAGTCAGGCCCAGACAGAATAGAAACAGGACAAAAGAAGTACAAGAATAAATCTAAAAAGCAGAACTGGAACACTGATATGTTCGGACAAGGGGAGAACAGGACAGGCAGGAATGGAAAGAGACGTACAACAAAAGAAGAACGAGACCAAGAACAGATGAAGGATCTCGACAGGACAATTCCACATCAAAACAAACATTTCCTGTACATTGACTTTCTCATGTTCACTTTTCTCATGTTCGTGAAAGAATTCAAGGCCGTGACAACACAAACAGGAAGCTCAGAGAAATCCGCCGTCGCAAAAACAGCGATAACGTGACACACGTGTTCTTACAGAAGACATCAGTGACCCGTCGTGGATGGCGCGTCTGTCTGTGACTCTGTCGGGAGATTACCACGACAACGTCTTTGTGCCCAACGAGCCTCCATCCTCCGATAGCGAGCTGATGCCGCGTCACGCCTTGGACTCCTCGTCGTCCTTCTCCACTTTCGGTACTACAAAAGAATTTTTTCTCTGTCATGACGTCACTTAATGCGGTTTTATGATCTTTTGAACTATTCAGCTAGAAAGATGTATTGACTCAATCGCCACCTTGAGAATTTATTTTAAAACCTTAGCCGCCACGAGCAGTTTCACAGGGCAACATAACATTGAGAACGTACTGTATGTCTTTCATGAGTAAACCCACAAAAAGGTCAGGAAGGCATGCACCAAAACATTCAAGAGGGCAGAAATTTTGTTTTGAAGGAGCCATTTTATGGGCATTTTGGCCATTCACGCTTATTTTAAAAATGATCCCCCTTACACACAATGATTACATTTGGTTGGCATATCTATTGGGACTGGACCCACAAAAAAGCCACAAGAAAGAAATGCCTGAAATAAAATAGCCATTTTAGGGGTCATTTTCAAGCATATTCGCCCCTGGAATTTATTTTGAAAATCCAACCACCACAGTCAGTGTTATGCAGCTTTGATAGGCATGTCGATCATGCATAGACGGTTAAAAAAAATCTCAACAAGCCATAAAAGAACAAAACCAAACAAAAAAAAAAAAAGGAAGTCTGCCGATTTGGTTTAAAGCGGTCATTTTAGGGTTCTCTTCGAGAGATTCTTTACTTTTAGATTTTTTTGGGGGGGGGTGGGTGGAGGAGTTCAGCCTGCAAAACAGAATTTACAAAGCAACATGAAATTTGCTGGTCACATATATCACGAGTAGACCTACAAAAAAGTCTCAAGAAGCCAAGTCGGAGAAGACAACATTTTCCATTTCGGTTTGAAACAACCATTTTAGGGGTCTTTTCCAAGCATCCAGCCCCTGGATTCTGATTATTGTTTAAATTCAGCCCTCAAAGCTTAGTTTTACAGAACAATATGAAGTTTGGTAGACATCTTTATCACAAGTGGTCCCACAAAAAAAGTCACAAAAAGTCTGAAAAGACTGTCTTCCTTTTTCCTTGGAAGCAGCCATTTTATAGTCATTTTGTCCATTTTCACAATACTATATTCGTTTTAAGAGTGCCAATGATCAGGGCCAGAAACAACTGAACACATCCATGAATGCATTTTCAAATATCTTGAGACGACTCACACGCTCTTGTTACCTCTCTCAGGAAAAACCCCAGACAAGGACAGCCCACTGGGCGGGGCCTTGCTCTCGGAGGTCAGCACGCTCTTCGAGATGCTGATGACGCAGAAAGCCGATGCCCCCCCGGGCCCTCGAGCCGACGTCCTCTACCGGCTGTCTTCGGCGTATCGACGCTCGTTGGAAGCGGATAGCGCCACGCCCGCTACTAGCAGCCCGATGAGAGGCCTGCCCCCACAGCCTGGACACTTTTGACACTGGAAACCAAAGAAATCACAGCGAGTGTTATGTACTATCATTCGCTGTGTAATTTAAACTATTAAGTCATTTGTCCTTGCTTGACTGCAACATTACCAAACAGGAAAGTAAAAAACAAAAAAACCAACAACGCACAACATGTCCAAATAATGCCAACATGGCCGAAATTTTCCTTGACTGTTGTCAATTGGACCTATTTAAATTGTTCTGTTTGTTTCGCTGCAGTTATAGCAGTTCAGGTAGTCTGGAGCAACACAATCGAGTGGTCTACAAGTATAAACGACAACATTACAAAAAAAATGAAAACAAAATGTGAAACGCTTTTACAAAGTATACAGAGTTAGATAAATTTCAGTCAGTCTGGGAGGTCTGTGAGTCTCTTTAGGACGAGACCATCTTCACAAACAATAAGACAATAGGTCTGAGTTTGTTGGGTTGATTTCCTAAATTTCCGACGTTAATCATGAAACTTCGCCGTCATGCTGTACCCACCTGCAATGGCCAACACTAAGATTTTTGCTATTCATATTCGGCTCTGTAGTCTGGGGAATAAAGGCTTTAAAATGGCCGTTCGAAAACCAAAATGGCCGCCTACCTGTATCTCTTCAGGTATGTTTTGAGACTTTTTTGCAGGTCATCTTATGACAGACATGCCTACCAAATTTCATGTTGATCAGTCAAAGTGGCTACAGTGGGATGGATTTAAACAAAATATGGAGTTTTGAGTAAGGGGAGTCCATGAAAAAAAAACAAAGCAAAACAAAACAAAAAAGTCAAAGCAGGCATTTACATTGTAAAGTAAGATTTCCCAACTCAAGACTATCTCGGAAGTATCATTTTATTTTGTTTTGGGTGGTTCACATTTTGTATTTTGAGTTTCATTTCGTCATTCTGTTTGTACTCCTGGGCCACTGTAGCACAATGACAGACAAAATCATCATACCAAGAAGCAAGAAGCACAGTTTCGTTGTAAAAAGATGAAATGTGGCATTTATGACTTTTTTTTTTGTAATGTCAAACGTTGATTGCACTGACAATTGAGCGGTGTTTTAAGGGAATCCAATTTTGTCTTGTGTCAACACTGAATCAAATTAGGCTTCATACTCAAAAGAGGAAGATGAAGACATGGTGGACGTAAAGACAAGTTGTCACGAGAAGGTCGCTGGGTGGAAACAATGAAGAGGGGGAAACAGGAAATGGGAGAAAGGAAGTAGCTTTGATGGCAAATAAACGGAGGGAGGCCAATGGCCACCAGACTGTTTTATATTTGCGAATGGCTCATTAAGCAAAGTGAAGCTCACGTTCAAACAGTTTGTGTTTGCGTACACGTGAAATAGCAGATTTGCCAGGTGAACTAGCCCCCTCTACCGGCCATTAGTCGCAGTTATAACCTACCGACATGCAAAGTCCTTTTGTATTCGAAATTCTACGAGCTCGGCAATTTAGAGTTACAAGGATGATAGTGGGAAAGAAAAGGAGCGACAATAAAGCCAAAACTGGCGATGACTAAAGCGACACTGACGACAACAAAATGAGAAACGACATAAACAAGCACAGCCATAATGGCAACAAAGTCAAACACCCACAGTGACTACATGAGCAACAAGCACAAAATTGGTACCACTGAGACAACGAAATAGGCATCCATCTACTTTCACGTCCATTAATTTGTGAAAAATCGGATCGTTGATTGGGAAATCCATACAAAGCAACCACAATGACAACCAAAGAAAACACCAAACAGGACAAAACAAAAACATTGAAAAGATTACAAAATGGGCAGCAGTGACAAAAACAACTACGGACATTACAACAACACCAAAACCAAAAGCAACAACAACAACCACAGTTACAATGACAACACAATACCAAAAAACAACAACAACACACACACACACACACACACACACAATAAGAACAGCAAGAAAGAAAAACACAAAGAAGAGCAACAGCAGTGAAAACAACTAAATGTGGGCTTCAAACGGGGAATTGGCCATCTCACTTAGCACACCATCACAATGATAGAGTGACTGGAAGTGTCACAGAAAGAAATACAAAATGGAGCCATCCGATGGAAATATGTAGTCACGTTGAAGGCTGTGATGTGGATTATGTTGCTTATACTTCCCGAGCTTTGTTGTCATGGTAACCTAAGTGAAATATAATATAGTGTAAAGGCTTTTAAAGTGGGCAAATCCTCTCTCCCACGCTCCCATCTGCCATGTTGAATAGCGTCCGTCGCACATTTGTCTTGATGATGAGGTGAAAAGGTTCCCGCGCTAAGCTCTCGCCGACTCGGCCGTCATACATCAGCCCGCTTTTCAACGAATGCTGACTCGGCCAGCCTCATCTTCCACTTAGTCGTTTGTGTGAAAGCCAAAGCAAGATTTAAAGCTCAGGCGAATGAAACAAAGAGGCAAAGCGAGTTCGCAAAAAAGAGCAAAACAAACACTTTGCTTCCCTGGCGGCGTATACGTGCGCGCGCGGCTAATGCGCTTCGCTATTAAATGTGTCACCCGCGACTCGGAATGTGAGGAGAAATGTAATAAAAATCTGATTAAAAGCAGTTCGCTATTGAAGTTCAGAGTGCGCTGGCTCGCTCCCTGCGGAGTGGCATACGCATAAAAGCCGAGGAAATATTAGCCAAACAATAAAAGTAGGACAACAACAGGTGTTTAATTTTGTTGCCGTCATCTTGCGATGATGAAACATTGCAAATAAACCAACTTAAAGCCCAGAAATCGGCGAGGAACGTTTGCATATAAGGGCAAAAGTACAACAAAGTTGCAGCAACACAATAGAAAGGCCATTACTTGATTTAAAAAGTACACAACATTCTCAAGGTGAACTCCGTGAGAGCTCGCTTCATATACCCAGCTAGCAAAGAAAAACAGCAATAAAAACGATGGCTATTGAGAAAAAGATGACAAAGACAACAATGATAACCCCACCAAAAATGACAACAATAAAGACAGCAACAACATCCACAAAAGCAACTACAGGATAATCAATTAACAATGACAAACGATGGAAACAACCATGAAAATAAACACACTGAAGAAAAAAAGTGAACAACAAAATTGCCAGCAACTAGACAAGACAATGAGCAACAACAACAGCATGGAAAGAAAGATCATAAAAGACGAAAATGAAAAGAAATGATACCAAAGGAAAAAAAGACAGTAAAAGAGAACCACGAAAAAAATTATGCCAAAGGAAAAAAAAAACCTACATCTGCTTTAAATCAACAATGACAACAGCAACTCAGCAAAAAAGCATTGAGACAAGCACATCAACAAAGACACTCAAAAGATGGCAACAAGGAGGCAACAATAAAAGGATCAAGAATGGCAACAAGAAAGACGGACAGCCACATAAACAGTCGACAACACGAACTAGAACAAGAATGACAACGAAACACCAAACATTGCACTTCAAACGGAGAAAGGCAACAAAGCTAACAATGATGCCAAAGGAAACAATGGCTAAGTGGGACAGCAACAATAACAGCAACTAAAGTGCATTTAGAGATTACCCACTGTTATTCTCTTGTTGAATTTTTTATTATTTTAAAACAAAAACGATTGATGTCAGGACAACAAAGGACAACAATAACGAGAACAACATCAAATCATGTACGAGTTTCCTGTTGTGTTGTTGCAGATAAACCACCAGAGGGCAGCAGCCACCCGCGCATAAACGCGTCTAACTCGGGGGAAGTCACAGAACAACACTCGCACGTGTTGTCGTCCAGGGTCACAAAAGCTCCCCAACATGCAAAAAAAAAAACAAACAAAAAAAAAAAAACAAAAAAACAAAACAGTGGAAGACTTCCTTTGATTTTGAACAACATAGGTGCTAACAGGAAGCCTCCAGTGTAATTCTTCACGTGCTAATGGTTTTTGTTGACGTCCAAACTATACAAAAAGCTGCTTCACTTTAAAGCGGCACAACTGCTTATTATTCATCCATCCATCCATTTTCCGATCCGCTCATCCTCACAATGGACGCGGGGGGTGCTGGAGCCTATCCTATCCCAGGTGTCTTCGGGCAACCCTGAACCGGTTGCCAGCCAATCGCAGGGCACACAGAGACGAACAATCATACACGCTCACACTCACACCTAGGGACAATTTAGAGTGTTCAATCATCACTCCCGGTACCTCTGCACTGTGAGGTCGACTCGCTAACCAATGAACCACCCGGCCGCCCGGCTTATTCATCATATTTCTATTAATGTTGTTACCATTTTATGACGTAGGAAAGCAGACACCGACTGACAAAGATGACTAAAACAACAACAAAAGGAAACGACAATAACAACGCCAACAACAACCATCTCAACAACCATTTTGATGAAAAAGAAAATGATGAAGGCAACAAAAGTGATGAAGGCAACAAAGACTGACAAAAAAGAACAAAAACAGCCAGTTAATTAAAAAAAAAATAGAAACGACAATGGAAACCAAGACAGCAACGGTTTCAACATTAAAGAAAGCCACATAAAAGACAGCAACAGAAAAGATAATGAGAAGAAAATGACAGGTGGCACGACGGTAGACTGGTTCACACATCCGCCTCACAGTGCAGAGGTGCAGGGTTCGATTCCGGGCCCCAGCCCCTCTCTGTGGACTTTGCATGTTCTCCACGTGTCTGTGTGGGTTTTCTCCCATCTCCTCCTACATTCCCAAAACATGCGTGATCAGGTAATTGATCACTCTAAATTGTCCCAAGGTGTGACTGTGCAGGTCATCGGAATGTTCAGTGTAATAAGCGGGAAGGTGTTGTGGTTTGCATCGGCGTCAGCAGAAGCTGCTGATGGGGTTTCAACCCACCTCCACTCCAGCTGGGCGGGCTACGAAGGAGGGGGTCCAATTCCAAATAATGAGAGATGGCCGAGGCGATACGGCAAAACGAAGGAAGGCGACAAAGACGGATGAAGGGATGCTCACATGTATGAAGAGCGCTGGCCGCTTTCCAGGTCTCGACCCTTTTCAAATTGGAAAGCTGACCGATCTCGGGCCAAATAAATCAACATTTGGAGGTTTTCACATTCGCAAAATTGTAGCAGCTGTGTTCATCGAGGGAGACGGTTCCATTTAGTATTTGTGGTGCAGGTGTGAAATA